AAAAACAAATTTAGAAGCAGTAAGTAAACTAAGGATCACGAAAATGGTAAAGGTCAGAGCGCAACCTGCAAGAAGCGGAAAACACTTACAGTTTTATCTTTGCCATTTGACAGACCATCCTCTCCATTAGATGGATGATGATTATCTGAATCATGGCCAGGAGACCCGGATACGTTCTGGTTCTCCTTGTACGCTGCCGTATCAGACTTCTCTAACAACACCAAACGTTCCACTTTCTTCGGTGGTAATATAGCGGCCGATCGGGAGGTCGGAAACGAAATATTATACACAATGACACTACGGCACATGGAGTGAAGTACCTGGAGCCGTAGGAGCTGGTATCGCGACGGTAGATCAATTCCATTCTGGTAATCTTTAACAATATCCTGGAACGATTCCTCGAGGACCTTTGATTGCCTTTCTATTTCTGCTCTTTTCTTCACAGAGTATCTAAATAAATATGTCATAGGCACGCCAGCAAGCACGAATCTGAGCAAACAGGATGATTTTCTTCTTTGAAAACCGTTCCTTGGGCCAGACACGTGAGTAAGAACTCTACAATAACGTCATCCGTGGAAGGGAAAGAAAATAAGGCACTTGAAATACGAAATACGCTCACGTACAGCCCGAAATGTTGTCAAATAAGCTTTTCGGAGGAGCTTCATTTCAACAAAAATACAAAGAAGTTTTATGAAACAAGTTGCTATAAAACAAACTACCTCGGAAAATGGAAGGCTCCTCAAAACGCTTACCTTAATTGCCCATGAGGAAAAACTCGTCCCTCTTGGTGATATTCATCAACCGTGGCCTGAATTGCCTGCGTCACCTCAGGATCGTCAGTAGAATGAATGTCACGATGACAGATAATTTGGATCTATAAAGGCAACGTTCGCAGAACTACAAGATATATAAAAGACGAAGAATATGATATGAAAGAACACAAACTCTGTTCTCGATGCTTTCAGCAATAACACTTGTCTCAAAAACGCGAATAAGGTGCACATTTTCCAACGCTTTCAGGCACTTTATCAGTGATTTTTTGTCAATCTGGAAAACATCTGCTTTATCAGAGCTCATCACAAGTTCGCAAAGGGCGAGTGTAGAGCTTTTAGCCATTAAAATTACCAAGAAGTCATATCCGTAGGCTTGCTCCCGTTCATGGACCAGTTTTAACACCTTGTGAATTGTAACCACAACTCGTTTGATTGCAACGATTTCGAGTAAGTCAGTTAGACGGCGAAGCGTCACATCAGATATCCGTAGCGTACCTAAACAGACAATTCAGGTGCAAAACCAGTACAAGGATTCCAGAATGCTATAGAAAGGAGAAAGAAATTACGAAAGCATCCGAACATAAGCACAGAAGGCTAATAGATTTTCTGAAGTGCACCATCGGTGGGTCGCTAGGACGGACAACTTTTCGCTTTTTGAGCGCGACATCATTGCAGGCCGTGCCTAATCCTTTCCCTAGGGAAAGCGTCCCTCGCCGCCAATCCAATTCCAAGGTTGGAAACAGAATCGCGTTTGGGACTCGCCGTTGAAAGGCCGAATCGCCCTGTAGCGGCTAACTTGCTCAGTCCTCCTTCGCTTGCAGCCACTATTGAGGGTTCCGAACTCGGCCCCCTGTGGGCTCACGGCTTGCGCAACTTTAATCGCCAGAGACGTATGAGTATCGTAATCAACAATCGGTATATGCAAGCAGGGCGAGGGCGCGTACCCTATTGGAGAAAGGAATGGATAGCTCGGGGGTGAACCTTAACTTCCGTAGAAAAATATGAATAAATAAATATAAAAATTAGAATAAATTAAAAACAAGTAACACACAAGAACACAACTGTGCCGATTCCGGAAAAGCAGCACTTTCATCATAGCAATCCAGCACTGTAGGCAACTCATTATCGCTCGCTTCAAGTTAAACATAAATATAATCTTGTAAGCCTCGAACAGTAGATATATAACATTAATCTAAATGGCACATTCACTCGCTCATTTCTCTCACTAGCTTAGACAGTGAAGCTACTAGGAAAAGAGAGTGGAGACTTGAAGGAAATACTAAACGCCAACTTTCTATATATTAACTAATCAGGAAATTTGACGACATGCACCAATGAAATAGGGCAGGCCCTCCAGCCATCTTCTCAAAGTCTTTGAAAAGCTTTTTAAATTGTTCAGGCTCACTCTCTGCTTTCCAAAAATACCTGAAACAAGATGATAACCATGAGGTTTCACGAGTACTATGCCCTCAAGAAATAACAACAAAGCTCACTTGATACACCGAACTTTGCCTTCCATTTTTTGAAATTGCCCTACATGCTCAGGATGTTCGTTGCACGCTGTAAGGATATAGGCCGAAACGCGCCGATTCCCAGCTTTTGCAGAGGTGTCCATTATAAGTTTCCTGCCAATCTAGAAAATAAATGTGCAGTAAAACATAGTTGAACAACAGTGGAAGTGCTAACCTCAGCACGCCCAAGCCCTTCAGTGCCATGTTCTCGTATGGTGGATAAAACAATGTCAGAGGGTAACCGATACAAAAACAGAGGATTCCATGACTCCTCGTTATATGATAAATATGGAGTTCCTGAAACAGTGGCGCTCAACACAGATGAAGTAGAAGTAGCACTTGATGATAGACATCAAAAACAATAGAATCATGGTGAACAGCTTTACTCACCTCCAGTTGTGCAAAAATTCGTGGTAGTCACTGGAGCCACATCGAGTAAATCTAGCAAGGGCGAGAAGCCCCTCTCTTTTTTATTCACCTTCACTTTCTTGGGTTTTGGGAGGTTTGTAGTCTGCAAAAAAAGCTTAACGGTGTCATAATTACGCCTTGGAATTCAGTCAGTGAGTCATCTCAGTAATACAGCGACGTTAAAACACATTTGTACATCAGAGACAGTGCATCCACTCCATCGGCATCAGCACCGGTTGACATATGACGTGGATCCAAAAATGAGAAAGGGTGCATCCAAGATTCTCCCAAAACCCTGAAGTGCTTATGACGTTGAGGGGAGGTGGGGGGGGACATTCAAGTGAGTGCGGCACCTACAGAACTAGGTTGGAGGGAGGTGGTTTCCTGGAGAAGAAGTGAGCTATTTGTTTTCTCTCAGGCGCTCTCCCTCTCCTGGGCTTGGCCTAGTGTCCCCTACCATCAGACTTATTTTGAATGTCCCTCCTCCTCCCCCCCCCCCACAAGACCATGAGCGCCCTTGAAGATCTGAGCGCAAGTTAGGCAACTTCAGCGCAATGCGGAAAAATATATTTCAAGCTGATATGTGAAATTACAAAAGGGATCAATGGGCGCTTTGGGCGCACAAGAAACAATCCCTCAAGGACAATGACAACTTCAGACTGCTTGATGAGGTATGTCTAAACCATGGGGAAGAGGAGTTTACCCTGATCACATAGAAATGCGGACAAAGAAGTAACGAAACTTCTTAGTCACTGAGGTCGAGGTGGCGCGGTAGCTAGTGCTGTGGTTTGGCGCCTGCACGTGCCGCAGAATCGATTCCCTCGCTAGGCCGAACGAGCCTTCCATTCACGTAGTGGTCTGACAGCCAGATTTATATAGGTGTTCAAAACCTTGTTGGATCAAAGAATGACTTGGAAATCTAATAATATCCACAACACACTCCTACGTCTGAGCCAGCTTTGAGCGGAGGTCAAAACCACGGCACATACCAAGCGGACGTTTCAACACAGATTCTATCAGAATAACATGCAAAATCATATATATGGATAAACGTACCACTTCGTACACTGCAGATGATGCTCTTGAAGTTCCTGGCTGAACACTGTGTATTTCTTCTACTTCAGTGTCATTATCACTCATCTCAATATCAGAAGTAGTCTCCCCAGACGATTGCGAGGCTTCAAAGTCCTAAATAGTGAAATCAATCATATGTATTCGCTTGACAATAGCCTACTCCAAACAGTCAACCATTTGAACAGAAACCAAGAAAACAAACTTCATCCGAATCTGGTTTTTCGTGAGAATCTTCTTCCAGTAAATCATCGTCAACTGCAGCTGGTCTCTCTAAAAAAGTAGAATCACACTAGGGTTTGAAACTTGTAGAAGTCGCAAAACTTACTCCTAGACGCCTTCTGTTTCTTGGGTTTTGCTGGTTGGCTAGCCAAAGACGCACATATTTTATCGACCGATTTTCGAGACGCCATGAATTGTGGCCGTCTCGTAT